CGGGCAACGCACGCGGCTTTCTTCCTGCTGCCGTGTTTCGTAGGGATGTGCTGAAGCAGAACGAGTGGCGATTCCCTGTGTAAAGGCCGAAGCCCCTGTGTTCTGTAGGGAAGTCGTCACTCTTGCTGAGAGTGATTCTGTGTGGAGGGGCGCAGAGTAGCAAATGCTCCCGTTGTGCTTTTCTGTAATTACTATTCAAATGCTAGTTGTTGCTGTGTTGTAGTAGTTTTAAGGCTAGAAACTTTCTGCTTAACTTTTCCCTCTTTTTCCTAGGGGAAATGGAAAAACAAGGAGCGAGTGCTTATTTTCTCTTCTCGTGGCATTAATTTCAGAACAAGGCACCTGATGCATGACTTAAGGACATTGATGCCTCACTCTAAAGCAGGTAGGGTTGGGCATCATCTCTAACTTACTTTTTCAGAGTAGTTTTTAACCAAGAACTTCTGATAACTTCCTTTTTTAAAATATGGTGCATAACTGTTTCAATGAAACTTAAACAAACACCAAATCCCTTTTGAGCCACAAATACAGCAGCTGTGATTGTGTCTTAATATATCCTGTGAAATTACTCCCTATGGCCTCAATCCTCTAAGTGCACAGATACTTTTGTTGCTGTGTTTATTTATTGTACTATATGGCAGAAACAACTTAATAGTTACTCTTAGTCTTTCATTCCTAACCAGTAGAACTTTTGCAAAAGGACTGGCTGTTAAAAGAACTTATGGTAAACAGATTTTCCAGCATTCTAAGTTTTATTCTTGTCTTCCAGATACCAAAATGGACCGTAAGGACCAGTTGTTCGTAATTAATGAGGTAATCTAGGATTTAACTATTCCTTAGTTTTTATTTTCTCTGGAAATTTTGTGTACAAGAGGAAAGGGCAACCAAGTTCTAGGGATCTTATGCCAGCTACAGGAGTTGTATAACTTCTCAGATGGAAACTGTTGGTAATTAAGAAGTGCTCATGTTAAAACAGGAAGTTGACTTTTGATTAATAAAACCAACATGAAACCTTTAATGAAATATCAACTTTTGTCATGAGGAAATAAAACAGAATGTGCCTTTCTTTATAGGTGAAAGGTGTTATTGCAGTTTATACTTGAAGAAGACAAGGAACAAGTATACAGGCAGGCCAGTGTAGAAGGACATTGGTAGTTCTGAAACTAGAACCTTATGTCACAGCTCCCGCTCTAATGTTTATATTCTAGAGAGCTTATAAAATTGCTTTAGCTTCAGTGAAGTTGCCTCTGGTAATAAGTATGAGGTGCTTCAACAAAAAAACGTGCTTCAACTTAAGTTTGGGGATCAGTAGGTCTTATTTATTAAGATGAGGCCTTTGCTTTTGAACTTAAAATTTGGAGGGGGGAAGATTAATATGGAAAGCTTTTTGAAAAAATGTCTTGAGTTTTTTAAACAGCTAACTTGTGTATGTCTTGTGTAGGCATGTGAAATGAAAAACTGCAATAAGTGCATCTTTTTTGAAGCCAAAAAGAAACAGGATCTCTATATGTGGTAAGGAAATATTACATCTTCTTACATTTCTGTGTAGAGCTGGGGATGCTTCCATTCTGTCTGAAGTTAGTGTAATAGTGATGTATGTAATAGTGTTGCTTAGTTAAATCTGTACTAGTCTTGCTCTTCTGTGGGTCGTGCAGGTTTACAGTGCATGACCAGCTTTCGTAGACTGTTTACAGAAGCCTGTTACAAAATTGTTTAGAAAGCAAGGACTTACAAGTATGTTAAAGGAACTCAATAATGCTGTAAAAGCAACTGAAATTATTTCAGTACAGAAATAATTGGTTTGACTTTACTGTAGAATTCCATTACACCTTAAGGCTGCTGTTAATATTTTTCTTCTCCTTATTCCCCACTACCTGTCCTCTGCAGGCTTTCCAATACACCACAGGGACCATCAGCTAAATTCTTAGTGCAGAACAGTAAGTTGGTTGATGTTACTGTGTTTGGACTCTTGCTTTCTTGTCTGTACAGTTTTATGTAAAGTACTAAAATGATCTTTTTTAAAAAAAAATCATTGTAGTTCACACACTGGCTGAGTTGAAGATGACAGGAAACTGCCTAAGGGGCTCACGGCCCCTTTTGTCTTTTGATCCAGTAAGTACAGGTTTCATTTCATTGTGTGCTTTTGTTCTGTTTGCATGACTCTTGCATTTAGCTTTGCATGTAAAACTACATTTTTTCTTTGTAGGCCTTTGACAAGGAACCACACTATGCCCTGCTAAAAGAATTGTTTATTCAGGTCAGTCTGTAGTTCTGCTGTCCAGGGTTTCTTCCTCATTGGAAATGTTTTTGGCAACATACATAAAAATATAATGTGTTGTTTTTTTTTTTTAAGTAATAATTTTACACTTCTGAATGTGGAAAAAAATCTTTAAAGGATTTGGGTGATGTTCTAAAATCACTGGGACATGAGTTCTTAAGTTTGGAGTTTTGAAATGTAGCTGGGATCAGGGTCTTAGTAAATTAAAATTAATTAAAATGAGCCAGTTACATTTTGCCTCTTAAGTGACAGATATTTACAAATACTGTTTTTTTTATTGCAGATATTTAGTACACCACAGTATCACCCCAAAAGCCAGCCTTTTGTCGATCATGTTTTCACCTTCACCATTACAGACGAGAGGATCTGGTTCCGGAATTACCAGGTTAGTGCTCTCTTGCAGCTCTTCAAGGGCAGCCTGGTAGAGCAGTTTAATATCAAGTCCATTAACTACAGTAAAATGAGAAGAACCATTACTATCAGTATGTCCCAACACATAGTGCTTGTACAAAGCAAGTTTGGTGTCCTGAAATCACTTCTGGAGAAAGCTGATTTAAGCTCTGTGTACTTCAGCTTTCGATATGTCAGTTGTGATTCTCTGATTGTTGTCTCAGTAACGAGAAGTACTGGCCAAAGCCTAAGCTTCACTTGCCTCTTAACCTTACTTGCTGCTTTGACCTAAAGCATTCTGGAGCTTACTTTCTAAAGGAAGAATTCACAAATACCTTGTACTTAGTGCTTGCTTGAACTAAAAATAATTGCTTTAGATACAGAATTGTGTTTATACCAATCTAGCTTTTTGGCTTCAGTGGCATTGTACCATAGATTTAAATGGACTTTTGTATCACCATATGTGAGGTGCCTACAAGGTCATATACTTTGATTCAATCTGTTGAAAATGAAGGAATGATTCTTTTATTGCAGATAATAGAAGAAGATGCATCTCTAGTAGAAATTGGGCCTCGTTTTGTCCTGAACCTCATAAAAATCTTCCAAGGTAGCTTTGGAGGACCAACTCTGTATGAAAATCCACATTATCAGTCTCCGAATATGGTAAGCACCTTTGTCTTTGTCTTCTCTTTCATTTAGCAACTGCTGTGAAAACAAACCTCGCAGTCTGTCTGTGCAGGAGAACCGCATGTGCCTTCCCTGGAACCTTTTCTAGAGAAGAGTGCCCTAACTTATCACAGCTGGAGAATAGTGATTTTTGTAAAAATGGAACAAATGCAAAATTCACTGAAAAGATGGTGGTACATTGAGGATTTTTAGAATTAAGCTGAAAAATTCCCACCTGTTTAATACTTGATTTCTTCCATCTTGTTCACTTGAAGCCTGATGTAATTTAAATTCTGGGCGTTTTTTTGTAGCATCGGCGGCTGTTGAGATTATCAGTGGCAGCTAAGCTCCGAGAGAAACAGCAAGTGAAGGAAGTACAAAAGATTAAGAAAACGGGGAGTAAGGCGCTTATTAAAGAAGATCCCACTGAAGTGGTCTTTGAAACCCCGGCTGAAGAAAAACCAGTTGAAATACAGCTCGTGAAACCAGAGTCGAAGCCAATTGTTAAAGACAAAAAGAAGCTGCGCAAAATCCAGAGGAAGAAGCAGAAAAAGCTTTTCAGAACTGAAGTGTCATCGTAAATGTTACAACTGAGGAAAATAGCTACATTGACATAATATTGTAAATACTGGTTTTTACACGCAAAACTAACTGGACTTCAGTTTTAAGTAAATAAAATGCCCTTTTCTTTATTAAGATTGATTTTTCACTCTCTTAATATCTTCCTTTCTTTAAGAGGGTTCTGGGTTTTGGAAAACACCATGGCAACAGGGATGGGAGAGTAAGACATTCTGAATATTTCTGCTTTTGAGAAATGGCCTTTGGACTTGAATACCTCTAGGAAACAAGTCACTGTAACATCTAAAAGGAATAAAAATAACTGGGCACTCATTAGTGCTCATCACAAACTGGAGTTCAAAAGTCAGCTTTCCTAGTCTGATAGCAGTAGGAAATCTTTTTGAAAGTTTTAACTCCATAGGAATTCTCTGCTGGAGAGTGGTGTTAATTTATTTTCCTCTTCATAATCCCTAGGTAATGCAAAAGGTTATAATCTCTCAATGGCCTTTTTTTTTTTTTTTTTCCAATTAATAGTAAAAAAGCTGCTACTTTTGCCTGTGGTAGATCCTGTGCCTAATCATCTTCTTAGGACCTGAAACAGATATGGTTGAGAAATGAGCTAATTTGGGATTCTAGCCCATAATACCAGATTCATTGCAAGTTCCCTCAAGACAAGAGGTACATGCTATGCGTGATTTGATGTCAAAATTAACTACAGTAGCCTAAAATAGAACTGACCATGATTCTGTCACAGCAGCAGTGCTTAAAAGCACAGTTCCACACGTTTGTAGACTTAGACATGCAAGAAACTTTTTGAAAATGCTGTCTTCTTGGTTCAATTGTATGGTATTTAGGTCTTGTTTTCCCATTCTGCTTAAAAATCATTACAACTAAAGGCTTTGATTTTGCTCATGGATAGTTCCTGTACTTCTAAGTGCTGCAGTGTTTATTACTCACTGATGAGCAGTAGAAAGCCTTGAGTTTAGTTCACTAGTTCTTGCTCACTGTCTGACAGTTGACATTGCCTCAGAGCTGCAGGGTGAGGTCAGCTCACAGCTTTGGGGCTGTATTTTCATGAAGCTTGTAGATAATTGTGAGTCTGCCCTTTAGCTAGGTGCAGTTAAATGAGCTGCTGTGTTTCTAAATTTCTAGCTGGGAAGAGGAGTGTACAATTATTCTCTCACAGGCTAAGTCTGATGATACCATCCCTTGACCAGACTGAAAAAACTTCAACCATAACAGAACTACCTAACACTAAACCATGTGATTTAAAGCATCTGGATGATGATCTTAGAGAACTCTGTAAGGCTTGGGGAGCCTGTTCCAGGGACTGACCACCATCTCAGTGAAGAACTTTTTTCTACTGTCCAACCTGAACTTCCCAATGCAGCTTCATTCCATTTCCTCATCTCCTGTTGCTGGTCACCAGAGAGATGAGATCTGTGCTTGGCCCTCTGCTGCCCACTACCTCCCCCTGCTTAGTGAGGAAGGTGTAGGCTGTGAGGAGGTCACCCCTCAGCCTTCTCCAAGCTGAACAAGCCATTTGTTCCTCCCAAGCCTTGTGTTTCATCATCTTGGTCACCCTTCTCTGACTGCAATCGGATAGCCTGATGTCCTCCGCACACTGGGGAGCTCAGACCCACACCCAGTACTGGAGATGAGGCCGCACCAGTGCGGTGCAGAGTGGGACAGTCGCCTTCCACCAGCCTGCACCTGATGCACCCCGCGGCACCGTTGCCCCTTTCGGCTGCTCATATCCAACCTCCCATCAAACCAACCCCCTCGATGATCTTGTTGTTTAAAGCAAAGCTGGGCTGACGCAGCACCCACAGATACACGTCTAACCTGGAGAGAAAGGTGGCTTGGGCCCGACCTCAGGTCTGAAGAGCACAGGTGTAAAATCCCCACAGGTAACACTGACAACTTCAGACGCGGCAGCTGTGCCGGCTGCACGCCCGGGCTCCTGAGCGCGGACATTCTATCACAGTGCATCTGTCTGATACCGGGTGACGGCACGACCCACACGCGGCACCGTGGCCGGGG